GAGCACCTCTGTGCAGTGGGCAGCACAGTCAATGCTAAGGCAAGGGGGTGAGCCGGTCACTGGGATTTGAGGGTGGGGGCAGTGCAGGAGGGGGTGGGGTCTGGGGGAGCAGTGCAGGGGGCAAGAGGGAAGAAGAGAGGTCTCTTACCACCTGGCGTCCCTGCCCTGCTCCTGGTGAACCGAGTGCCAGGATGGGGCAGTAGGTAGCACTGGGTGCCGCTCGCCCTCAGGGCTCCCAATGCCAGGGGCTGCCCAGCAGTGACCTCCAGGTCCTGTTGGAGTCAAAGTGACATTTGCTGCCATCAGTGAAAAATCTGACCGGCCATGGAAACATTCAGCTCTGCCCCACAGCCGGAGTTTGCTGTTTCCATGAACACACGTGGTGCCTGGCTCTGGTCATTACCTGTGTGATGTCTTTGAGATACTCCTGCCCCTCGTCTGCGCCGTAGGCTCCGGAGAGCTGCCAATCTCGCACCAACAGGTCCAGGCGCTGCAACAGAGAGCGCAGGAGAAGGGTCACGCTGGGGTTGGGGGCACAGAGAGGAGACCAGAGCTGGAGGCTGCCGTCGAACCCAGCCACCGACACTGAGACCCAGGGCATGACATGGGCATGGAGGGAGAACAATGGGGGCAGGGACTGGCTGTTTGCTCTGGGTTTGTCCAGCGCCTGGCACAACAGGGTCTGGGTCTAGGATGGGGCTTCTGAGGTGCTCTGGCAATAGAGACAGTGACTAGTAAGAATGAGATTGGGTGATGGGAGGGGAACCAGCATTGTACCGCTATGCCTGGGAGGGGGGGGAATGAGGGCTCACCTGAATTTGGGGGAGATTGCAGGTCTCGCCAACCTCCTTCGCAACCTGAATGAACATCTGAGATGCAGAGAGAGAGACAAAGAAAATGTTTTCCATTTTCAGCAGAACATCCCCCACAGGTGACTAAAGGTGACCAACCTAGATTGGTGGCTCAAAATAAACGAGTGAAAATAACGCCATTGAAACTAGCCAAAACCTGAACAACATTAAGTGAAAACTGATCATTGAAGAGAGAAAACAGATAAAATGAGGAGAGAAAACC